AAAGAGTGTCTGACATTTTTGGCTATAGAAGTATAGAAGACTTCATGAATTCCCACTTAGACTATCTGGTGCTGGAGTGGCTGAGAATGAAAGATAGTGGGTACACCCTATCTGCTTTTCCTTATGTTCTTCTGAACTACTCTAGCCTGGAGGAGTTCTACAAGTGAGTTGACATGTGAAACATGCTTGCTCAAGTATCGGATATAATGCTGCTTTACGATTTTTCTCTATAGAGATGTATAATTAATTCTAGTCATCTTGTCTCTTGTTGTAACAGTTGAAATGTCATATATACCTGTAACTCGACAGTAATTACAAGTTTGGTTATACAACAGATGAAATGCATCTGTTGTATTGTACTTAAAATTTTAAGGTTTTTTTTTTTTTAATCAGTTGTATTTCAACGAGTTTTGGAAATGTATTTCCTTGCCTGTAGGTCTTGTTATAAAGTTCTGGTTCCACACCTGGTCATTAGAAGTCAATTTGAAGATGTGAAATCCATAGCGAACAGAATTGAAAAAGACTGGAGGAACATTCTTTCAGACTGCTTTCCAAAGATACTTGTAAATATTCTGCCGTATTTTGCCTATCAGAGCAATGGAGACAGTGAAATAGTACAGCAAAGAGAGACAGCTTGTAAAGTTTATGACATGCTTACTGATGAAGACTGCTTAGGCAAACAGGTATCTGATTTTTATTTTCTTTATTTCTATTTTATTCTGCATTCAACAAGGACTCTGATTATTCATGAGAAATAATAACACAGACTATATACAAAGTTCTGCCAAATACAAAAGCTGTGGTGACATATATCAACATATGGGTGACATATAGTACAGTTGAAAGGAAAACATTAAGTAAGAATTCAGATGTTTTAGGTCTTCAGTTGTGACTGTGTTTTATAATAAAGTCACAGGTTAGTATTTTGAATCTTTCAATTGAGTTCAACTGTGCCATCTCAAAGTCACGCTGTTTACTTGAAATATGATGTGTTTCAAAATATGAATGATATAATAATTCTCAGTAATTATGATTTATGATTTTCCCCAGCCAGAATTATTTCTGCAAGTCACATTTTCCTATTTTAAAAATATTTAATTTCTTTTCCTCATTGTACTCTTGCTCGGTACCCGAAAAGATGCTGATTATTAATGGGTAAATAGTGACATTTGACTTTACAAAATTCTGCCAAATACAGAAAACAACCCCTCTCTTTTCACCTTCCCCGTCTCCAAATAGTAATAATAAAAGGTTGTAATTACAACAGGTAAAACAATTCCAGGCAGATTTGTGGTTTTGAAGTGTAATTTGGACCTTTCAAAGGATAGAAAGGAATCCTAGGAAGAAAAAGAAGTTACCGTATTTACTCAAATACAAGATGAGGTTTTTCCCCCCAGTTGGCTGAGGGGAAAAAAGCCCTTCATCTTATTATCATATACAAGGGACTCTCACTAAATTTATTGTCTGTCATTAAACTGCTGCCAAAAGCAGCCTGTGCTCAGCATTGGAAACCAACTATGAAGATTAAATGCAGACAAAACTGAGCATATCTATAAAACACATGGCCCACACTGGGCAATCATGCTGATGGGACCCTACCACAAGGTAAGGTTAGTACAGCCTACCTGAATAAGACGTACGGCAGTGCATATTAAGTGCAGTCCTGCTCACTGCCAACTGTTTTTCAAGTCATGGTGAGTCACTACATTGCATACATTTTGATTTCCTTTCTTTCCCACTTCCAGTGATTCTTGTTACTTCATGAGCCTTAAATGCATAGCAAACACCACAAAATGAGGGGCCCAGACAGTTCACACAGAACACACAGAAGCCCTCTGTCACTGCTCCTCTCAGCCTGTTGCATATGAGCCGTATGGCCCCACCCTCCATGAGGTGAAGCCAGACCAGGTTGCCCTGCACCTTATCTGCATATAAGTTTTTGGAGCATCCCAGGACTCATGACAAGAACACCCAGTTCCAGTCATGTGTGGGCTAATTAGCACATGGACCCTTTGTTGGGGGGTATCTGCAGTGCTGAGTTGTGGGGTCACCGTGGCTTGAAATGCTGTTGACTCTGGTGGGGCTCAGCCCAATGAACTGTGCGATAAATCGTGATCCTTTGGCTTTGGACTAATACCAGACCTAGTTTGTACTATAAGTAGGTGCCAAACTGTTGCTCAAAAGTGTATTTATAGAGCATCTCTGCTAAAACTTGCAGCAGTTTCAAAAATAAGGTAACATGCATCAATTCTGGATGAACTAAGTGTGTGGGTACTATATGCACATTGCTACAGCTGTGTTTAACTTCAAGGTTATTGTTTTCAAATGTGCTCCTCACTTCCATGTGCTCAGGGAGAGCAGGGTCTGACCATAAGAAGATAGGAAAGGGGCTGCCAGGGGAAAAAGTTGGGGGCAGGGGAGAGGGGGAAAGCAGAGAGCAAAAGAGCTGCCTGACTCTCCAGATTTATTTTCCCTGCTATGACAGTGAGGAGAACAAATTCAAGGCAAACTTCCAAAAATTAGTTTCTTTACCTGGAAGATTATAACTAATTTATAATTTTTTCATAAACAGAATCTAATTATTGGGGGAGGTCATCTTGTAATCAGGGTTATCTTCTATTTGAGTAAAAATAGTAATTTAAAAATCGAAATTAAGATTTTTCAAAGTTAGGTTATTTCTGAGTTAAAGCTGTGCTATTAAAACACTAACTGCACCCATTTTTGTCTTCTAGCAAATTGACAATTTGTCTCACAGTAACTTTCCAGAGATTGTGCTAGAGCTGTTGATGACCTTACATGAGCCAGCCAACACTGAGGCAGGAGAAGGATCTCACTTAAGTAAATTTACAGGGTATGTAGACACAGAATTTTAGAGCATTGTGCTAGATGAGGGGTGTATGCATTTCTTCTTTCCACTTCTGAAGTGGAGGAGTGAGAGATGTTACACAAATGAGTAATACAACATGTTTTAATACTTCATATCATGCCTGTGTACTAGTTCTGTTGGTTTCTATTCAATTGCTAGTGAGGCTGTAAAACTGCAGAATGTTGCTGTTTCTTTGTTCCTTGTGGCTAGAAGTGGGGGAGTTCTTTGGGTTTGTCTCCTACAGTCTTAATTGATTTTTTGGGTTACTGTTCAGCTTCTTTAATATTAGTCCTGTAGAGGTTCTTTAAACTTCTGTTTGTTGATTTACTGAAAGTATAACTGATTCTCCAGTTACTGGCAGGGGTCACTAGTGTTCTCATATTTTTTTTTGACAGTGCAGTTACTGTTGCCTAAGAAGGATGAAATCGCATCTGCTTTGCAACATTTTCAGTATTTTTAATGAATCCAAAATCATGATACCTGAATATATTTTTGGAAGTTTTATTGTTATATTCTTTTAAATCATTCAGGGACCTGGACCCTGCTCCTAATCCTCCTCATTTTCCATCTTATGTGATCAAGGCAACCTTGGATTATATTAGCAGTTGTCATAAAGCCAAGTTAAAAAGTCTTGTAGCTGTTCTTTCTAAAAATCCTGTAAGTATATGATTTTGCAGTTTTTTGATTGTTAACATTTCCTTTTTAAGTATATTGTGTTTTACTTGTATGTTTTCACTATGTGTAAACCAGAAAACATACTCTCAGTTGTACAATTAGAGGGTGTAGCTGTGCTATTTTAGCGTTAAAAGGAGGAAGCATATGTAAAATATGGAAAAGAGAAAAAAGTCTCAGTTAAAAATGAATCAAGTTGTGGGAGATTTACTTAGAGTAAATAAAATTTAATCCATTAGAATGGCAGTACTCCTGTCAATACTTTTTAAACAAAGCAGAACACAGACATGCATGTTGTAAATATTCAGTAGTAAAAATAGTAATATTTGTTTCCTCTGCTGGTAATGTGGACTTCCACTCTCTCCTGGCTTAGGCTTTTTTTAGGGGCCCCGTGGGTCAGATGGAATGGCCTGGTGGGCCGCATCTGGCACACGGACCGCATTTTGCCCACCCCTGCTTTGCAGAAATGTTTGGCTGTTATCATCTATGTTGCCTCTCTGTGGTGGAAAAAAGTTGTTTAAAAAATATTAGGGGTGGAGGGAGTATGATCTAGTCTATACCTCCACTCCTTGTAGAATTTATTTCTATGGTCTGTTATTTAAGCCCCCTCTACATGTTACAGGTGTTGCACAGTTAACTGGTTAATTGCACAACTGCCTTAAGACCATATACAACAGGGGCGGGCAATTATTTTGGGTGGAGGGCCACTTATTGAGTTTTGGCAAGCCATCAAGGGCCTCATGACAGGCAGCCAGGGGCAGATAAATATTAATTTTCTAAATTTCTTAGGGGTCCCGCAGGCCAGATGGAATGGCCTGGTGGGCTGCATCTGGCCCGCGGGCCGCATTTTGCCAACCCCTGAGCTACAAGTACAAAGTAGCTATCACAGGATAAAAAGCTCCAATCAGCTATAAAGTTAGACCTCAAAGATGTGTACTAACTTTATAGCTAATTGCTATTGAGCTTTAATTTGCACATGTAGCAGGGTCTCCCCTGTGGCTTGGAGCCCCATCAGCTGACAGGGCTCCCAGTCGCAGGGGTGCAGTCTGCCAAGTGTGAAACCCCTGGGCCCTGGGGATTGCAGCAGCTGCAGTCCCTAGGACTCAGGGATGTATGAAACCCCCAGGACCTAGAGATTGAGGCAGGCATGATCCTTAGGGCTCAGGGATGCTTGAAACCCCTGGGTCCCGGGGATCAAAGCAGGCACAACCCCTAGGGCTTAAAGATTCATGAAACTCCTGGGGACTCTGGCAGGTGCAATCCCTAGGGCTTGGGGGTGTGCCTGCCTTGATCCCCAGGGCCTGGGGGTTTCACACATCATGCAGTCCTCATTGCCACAATCCCTCAGCCCTGGGGATGCATGGCGCATCCCTGTCCAGGAGCTCCTCAACTTGGATTGGGCTTCCCCTGCACTAGCAATACAGTGCATGTGTGACACAGCAGGAGGTGCAACTGTGTGGGTTTCACTTTTGATTCCATCATAGATTCATAGGTTGTAAGGCCGGAAGGGACCCTGGAAGATCATCAGGTCCAGTCCCCTGCACTAAGCAGGAAAGATAACTGGGGGTCAGGTGACCCCAGCAAGGTGACTGTCTAGTCTCCTCTTAAAGATTTCCAGGGTAGGTGATTGCACCACCTCTGGAGGGAGCTTATTCCACAGTCTGGACACCCTGACTGTGAAGAAGTTTTTCCTTCTGTTGAGCCTGAATCAATCTTCCAAGAGTTTGTGGCCATTACTCCTGGTTTTCCCCTTGGGTGCCCTGGTGAACAGTTGCTTACCAAATCCTTGATATTCTCCCCTGGTGTAGTGGTAAGCTGCTATCAGGTCCCCTCTCAGCTGCCTTTTCCTCAAGCTGAAGAGTCCCAGGTCCCTCAGCCTTTCCTCGTATGGCTTGCCTTTTAAGACTCTGATCATATGGGTGGCTCTTCTTTGGACTCTCTTAAGCTTGTCCACATCCTTGTTAAAGTGCGGTGCCCAGACCTGGACTCAGTACTCCAGCTGTGGTTTCACCAGTGCTGAGTAGAGTGGAAGAATCATCTCCTTGGTTTTGCTGGAGATGCATCGATTGATGCATGCCAGAGTATTATTTGCCCTACTGGCTACAGCATCGCCCTGCCAGCTCATATTCATACTGTGATCTATTATTACTCCCAGGTCCCTTTCAATCATGGTGCTAGTCATTTTGGTGCTGCCAAGCCTGTAGGTATGTTGGGGCTTGCTCATCCCAAGGTGGAGCACTTTACATTTGTCAACGTTGAACTTCATCAGGCTCTGATCCACCCAGCTTGCTAGCCTGTCTAGGTCTGCCTGTAACTGTAACCTATTTTCAAGCATAACCACACTTCCCCATAACTTGGTGTCATCCGTGACACCTTTACCTGCACATGTGGAGGGGGCCTTGGTGCCCAAAATAAACACGCCTTTGTACATAACTAAGAAAAAAGGTTGGGTGTTTAGGTTCTTTCTTGAAGTGAAATAACTTTTGCTATTTTGATCTGAGAAACTGCTTTTCACTTGATGTTTTTGTTAATTTTTAGGATTCGTTCCAGAAAATCCTACTAGCCATATGCAAACAGGCAACTGATACAAACAATATTTACAAAAAACACAGAGTTCTTATTATTTATCACTTGTTTGTTAATTTGTTACTTAAAGAGATAAAAGATGGCTTAGGAGGAGCTTGGGCCTTTGTTCTTCGTGATGTAATTTATACCCTGATTCACCACATCACCAACAGGTAAATCCCATGATTGTCTTCTCTTCCTTATGTTTTTACTTCCTATTATCTTCACATTTCAATCCTGGCTGGCAATTGCATTGTATGTGTAGGAACTGTTCAAAAGCTGACACTAGTGACACATCAAAGATTGATTATTGGTTATATTATGAATTATAGCCTTGTTCTGTTGTCTGAAAACTACAGAAAATTTACTGAACTTGGGTGGGCATCTTGCAAATTACCTTTCCTTGATACTTTGTTAGTTCACATTTTAATAAATATTGGCTATATTAGTCACAGTAACTTAAGAACTAAAATTTGCTACTTGATATCAAAAGATAACCAGAATTATGCAGACATCTTCATTGTAAAAACATAATATTTTGGTAAATCTCTTTTATATCCTTTCTTTGTACAGCTTCTAATTTTGGTACTCAGGGGAATATGATTGATTTTGCAATGTTGTCTACTAATTATAACAAGGACTTAGGCTATTTCAACTTAAATTACTCATTCTTTCATAAGCCTTAACTGTCTATCCTGAATCAAACTGTAGTTTTATAATCATGTCTGTGAATTCTCTCCCCTGATCCTGCTACTTGTTTTTCTTTCCAGAGCATCCTTTGTGTTATGTCATTTGTGTTGGCTTCTGTTCTGGCCTCTTTCCTACAGTTCCCAACTTCTTTAGATCACATGTTTTCCGTTTTTTTAAACCCCAGGCTTTATCTCTACTTCAACACTTCCAGCTGCCTTGTGACCGACAACTTTCTTCGCTATGTATTAATTCTACTTGTCTAACATCTTCCTTTCTGCTCCCTGAGTAAGCTGCTCCTTTACTGTCTGCCATGTGCTCCCTGCCTTATCTGAAGCTCTGCTTTCTGGTTCCTGCCCTATCTGCCCCTGTCCTATGTGTCCCCTCCCTAATCTGCCACATACTGTGCACACAGACTGACTGTGCCACTTGTGCTGGTTGGCAAATCCTGTCCAAGAGTCTAGTTCTGAGGCAACAAGTAGATATTGGGGCAGATTCCATGGCAATAAAACACTGGAGCTGTCACTGCAGCACTATCACTGGGGCAGAAATGTGGAATGTAAGCAGTGGAAGCCTGTATTTTTCACTACAGACAATCCATCATTAAACTGTAATCATAAGGGAATAATTTAACTTCTATAAAAAAGCAAACATTTGAGGTTTGGTACCACTAAATCTTGTGGGCAAATTCCTTCTGGGAATTGGGTTAACAGTTTTAAGATATCAAGCAATGCCTCCTATAACTTGTTTATATATTCACCTTCCTCCTATTTCTTCTTACAATAAGATAAAGCTAGTACTTTGAGTAGAGATGCTTGTTTTTAATTTCATTCCTCAATTGTGTTTTGTTTCTGTAACAGACCCATTGCTGTCAGGGATGTATCCATGCGCAGCTTTTCACTCTGTTGTGACCTTCTAAACCGTGTCTGCCATGCAGCAGTCACGTATTGTAAGGATGCCCTAGAGAGTCATCTTCATGTTATTGTAGGCACGCTAATTCCCCTTGTTGGTGACCAACCTGAGATTCAGGAACAGGTAGATTTTCATAAGATGCATTTGTTGTTTTCCTTTATTATTTGTAGGATCGTTTTTGTAATTTTATTAACTATCTACATTTTTATAATTAATAATTCTATATAATAATTAGGGGTGTACCAGTATATTGCTTGGCTATTGGATTGGCACTGATAAAAGGAGAAATGGCATTATTGGCTTTTTTGGTTGTTGTAGCCAGTAATTATGGCCATGTGCGCAGAGCACCCTGGCAAGTGTAGTCTGGTCCCTGTGGCCCGGCCCAAGCATGCGGCAGACTATATGTCCTGACAAGCAGCAGGGAGCTGACACAGGGTGCTGTGCTCAGCAACAAAGGGACTGTTACCAGCTCCTCCTGGTATTGCCGCTGCCATGGAACAGTGCATGCACAGCAGGGGCCTGTGTAAGGGCTGCTGCAGCGACATTGGGCTGCGTGCAGGTGGAGTAAGGCACCATGCAAGGGACGTTCCATTCCACCAGGCACAGGATGCATTTGGAAAAGTGGCTTCTCCCCGGCGGCTGCACGAGCTCAGCTGCGCGGGGCCCACCAGTGCTGAGGCAGTGGTGTGTTCTGGGGCTCCAAACGCACCCAGTGCTGTTGTCCTCACAAGGGTTCACCTCACTCAGGACAGCAGCACAGGCTGCACGTAGAGTGGGGCTGCAGACTGGAGCCATATGCAGGTAGGAGCCCTGGGCAAAGGGTGTGACGTGTGGGAATAAGGCAGTCACTGCTTTCCTCATCAAGGGCCAGAGCAGGCAGGGTGTGCGTGTGAGAGAGAGAGAGAGAAATACAAAACTAACAAAACAAAAAATGGTTTATTTATGTCAGTAGTTTAAAATGCCTTGCAATATTACTAAACATCGGTTAACCAATATGGTTGGTTTATCATTTGACTATCAGTATCGGTCAAAAAAATCTTAATCAGTGCATCCCTAGTAATAACCCATATTAAAGTTTAATCCCTTTGTATTATTTAACAATGAGATTTGTTGTTAAGGAAAGTGTAAGTTTTAATAAATTCCTATTTTTTCAACTTTTTTCTTTAAGCCCCATATGGGGCTCCTTGTGGCTCGCACTAAGAGCCATGGAACCCGTGATTAATGCGCCATAGAAAGCCTTGTCAGTCTCCTGGATCTTGAAGCCTTGTCAGCTTCTCCAACTCAACAGCACCAATAGATATCCGTGCCAAAAAGAGACTCTGTGGGCTCCTATATACATGCAAGGAGGCTGCTTCGATGTGCTATAATTACAGCACATCGGAGCAGACTCATTTAATGGAGTCTGCTGGAGTGTGATAATTACTGCACTCCAGCAGACTCTGGCATCTTGTGCATCAGCGGCCCCGTGCTGAAAAATTAGGCAGGTATGGGGGTTGGGGGAGAGTGCTTTAAACTAAAGCTCGTTCAACGAGCTTTAGTTCAAAGCACCCCCACTACCATTTTTCAGCACAGGGACACAGCCTTTCATCTTACTGACGGCCTAGGACCTGCAGCTTTGTTGGCATTACATGCCTCAGCACTAGACTGACTGCATGACCCCTCAATGTTGTATGCTTGCTTTTATCCACTTCAGTATCATATAACAATAGTCGTGGTTTTGAGCATTCGCTCATCTACTCTTCCAGAGTTTCTTGCTACCCTTCTCAATCTGAAATAGTATTTGCAGGCATGTAGGTCATTCAGCTACATCTACCCTAACAAATCCTACCAGCTAGAATTTCCTGCAGCCTTCTTCTAACCATTTGTCCCAACAGTGTGAGGACATGTCTCAAATTATCTTGCCCACAGATATAGGTGGTCTTACATCTTGGTCCTACAATTGGAATCTTCTCCCTGAGTGAAGTAGGGAGTTGCCCCTTACACGCGACAGTTAGACAATTTCATAGGATTCCAAGGCCTTTTGAAATGGTATTTGCTCTTCATGATCCCATCGATGCAGATATCCTCATCTCCAACTCTAGAGGGAAAGTGGCATTGTCCTTAAATAAGACAATAGTAGATTATACTAAAATAGTTTGACAGGATCCAAATACAATAGATACCATCTCCTAGGAGGTGGACAAGCAATATCAGGTCCCTCCAAGCAGGAGAAAATAATTCTGGACCCATAGTGTGCCACTGTCTCTGGTGGATTTTGCAGCAAATGGGAAATCTGCTAAAAGAGACCCACAGCAATGCACGAGGAGCCAAAAAGTTTGGTCCAAATGTGCTCAAGCTTAACAAGCAACAACTTTTCATTGTTTGTTTGTTTCTTTTTTTGTGATATCTTTTATTCACCAATGGCATACTTGAGAAGAAACTTGACAAGCTTTCAGGCACAAAGAATCTTTCATTAAGCAACTGAAGAAGGATGCTTTGTGCCTGAAAGCTTGTTGGACTTTTCCTCCAGCTATACAGTTGGGCCAATAAAAGATATGACCAGCTGCTTCCCTTTGCCTCCCCTGCTCCAAAAAAGATATTATTTTGCATCTTGTGCATTTCCTGGACCATCATGGCTACAACATTCCAATTCTATTTCCAGCTTGGGTTCATGAAAGGCAATCGTTTTTGGAAAGAAGCATAGGGGGCAGTGGTGAGAGAGCTTCTTACATCTTGATTTAAAAGTTTATTAACAAAAACAATTTATTAATACTAATAAATACTCCTTTTTTCAGAGTATGCCAGTGAATATGCCAGCATCTCTAAACTTTTTATAATGTCTAGTAATGTAAAACATGATTCATGTGTTTTGCTTTTATGCAATTGTCAGTTTCATTGCGTTTGGTATATATAGGGAAATGGATAAAATATTGTGGATCATTTTTTCCATTTAAGCTGTTTATTATTTTATATTCAGGTCCTAGATTTGTTGAAGTACCTAGTGATAGATAACAAGGATAATGAAAACCTGTACCAAACAATCAAGCATCTAGATCCTTTTCCTGAGCATCCAGTTTTTAAAGATTTGTGCACTACTCAACAAAAGATCAAATATAGTAAAGGACCATATTCACTTTTGGAGGTAATGAGTTACAGTTCTACATGGCATAAACTAATTGCTTGTAAGAGAGACCTTGCAAATGAAATAAACTGGTGACCAGTGAACAGAAGTCCATTTGTAGGATATGGCTGATCCCCAAACAAATGATATTCCAGTTGTAGCCCTCTGTGCCCCAGTATGAAAATGTACTATGTGAGATGTAATGGAGAGATTTCCTCTGAAATTAGACACATATTGGCTGTGCTTATCTCTGGTTTCAGGATGTGATCCATTTGTGTGCATCTTCACTATAAGATATGCACATCTTTTGGCATTCATGTTGTGAAACATTTGAGTACCACTTCACTTTAAAATCTGACGTGTTGCAAAGTAAACTTATTACAAAAATGTTGTTTTTCAGGAAATTAACCATTTCCTGTCAGTAAGCGTCTGTGACTCGCTGCCATTGACAAGACTTGAAGGATTACGTGACTTACGCAAACAGCTGGAACAACATAAAGATCGGATGAGGGACCTTATAAAAGACTTCCAAGGTATAGACTTCTGAGAGCGTGTTTTGGTTCTTGTTCTGCATACCATTTGTTTCCTCAGTTCAGTAAAACAGTCTGCTGGCATTTCATACACAGAGCAGATTGCTTTGTATTGCAAAACGTGATCAACTGTGATTTTTTTCTGGCTGGGTATAATATAAGCAATATACAGTAAGTATTTTCATGCAGATGATATATAGCAACATCTTTTGGAGGGGTATATATGTGTGAGAGAGAGAGAGAGAGAAAGAAATAGGTTGTTTTCACTGTTGGATGTATTTACAGCCTTAGCTTTATGTTAATGATGTTTCTTACATATGTGTTTCTCTAATGCTTTATATATTACCAACAAAACTTACTTTAAAGAACACAATACTTCAAAGTGAATCATGCAGAAGTTAAAAATGCTAGAAGGTAAGGCATCCTGAATCTTAACAAAGAGAAAGAGTTGGTGAGATGTTCTAGACCTCCCTTCTCCCGCAGCTCCCAGTCTTATGTCACAACTAGACCCAGTTATTTTTTCTTCCTCATTCCTCACCCAGTCTCCCCAAACTTCCTGTCCAGTCTAACACCTTTTCCTTCCTCCATGTGCACCTTTTGTGTACTTTTGGATGCACCTTCCTCCTCCTCATTGAGAGATTGGCTTCCTGCTCTCAATTCCAATGCCTGGCCCCAATCATGGCCTGGAACTGCAATTACAGGGGAGGGTGGCTTTGCCCCTGTAATAATTAGAGCATTGTCAGTTACTAGAAGTGCATGCATCATCCAGCTGCATGTTGAAGTTGTTAAGGGAACAGTGCATATGCACTCTGGTCAGCAGCAAGAGCTGTGTGTGAGGGGCTTGTGCATGCCTAGAGAGGACGAGATATTAAAAAATTGTTATCTACTAAATCCAGTAGGCGTCTACTAAGTATGAACTGCAGAATTCAAAGGGTTGTAACAGGACATAGATGGCTAGATCCAAGAAACTTCAAATAGTAACACAAAGTATTCCAGTAGCTTAAGATGTAGGCCATGAATTTTTAGGCTGAAAGAAACTTCTTTATAACTTGACCAGATCTGGCTTTTCACAAGGAAGATAAAAGACGTGTCTCTGACATTAAGGCCAGCTCCCCATGATAAATGTAAAGCACCTGCTTCAAAGCAGGCAACAGTAGAAATGCTAAAAGAAAATACTGCAAAAATGTTTATATGGGCAAAAACTATATGTATTTTTCACAGGTGTCACTCTTAGAATCAGGTGAACTAGTCTGGCTGAAATATTCCTACCTACCTACCCCTCCCCCCTAAAATAGCTACCAGGAATATAACATTTCAGCCCAAGCAGTTTACAGTGTGGCAAAGTTATAGGCAACTGAAAAAGGTTGAATAAAGAAAAATGTTAAATGACATTGATAAAAGGCAGTGTTACTTGCTTCAGTTGCAGTGGGTTGATACATTTTATTATAGGTATTGCAAAATATTAATATTTCTTAAGAAATTGATTGTTTTTTTAGGTTCTGTAATCTCAGTATACAAGACCTGTCAACTTGTGATCTGGTTAGTACAGATATCACATTTTGCAATCTTTGAGGCCAAGCCATTTTTGAGATAACAGTGTGTAAGAAAAATATTAGAACAAGTTTTAAAATCTTGTAAAATAAGGATGGCTTGTCTATTTAACCTCAGGCATTAAAAGAAAAATCTTTAGTTTAAAGTGAGGGCTATGAAATTATAGGCTGAAGGGATCATTTTTGAGACTTACAGGGGTTTAGGTTTAGAATGAACCAATTTACCAGCTTAATTGTTGTCACTGGGGCAACCATTTATTATTTATTTGTGTTACATGAAAGCTTAAGCTGGATTCTCCGTTGTACTAAGCAATGTGTCATTCCGTAGTAGTTTGTACCACATATCCTGGCTATAGCATTTTAAAATGCTGGCTATAGTTTTTCAAAGATTAATTGATGTGGCATGTGATTTGAAATATTAATCAACTTTTTTGTATTTTGCTAAAAATATAGACTGAACATTTTGGCAGTGTATGTTCATAAACAATTTTTATAAATTAATAGTGATTTTTTATTTTTATTTTTTTGAACTTCAAGGGCATGCTTGCCTTCATCTCTTTCTAAGAGCTCTTTAGCACATGTTAATAACCTACTTCTGTCTTCACAGTGCTGTTGTTTCCTTGCTTTACCTGTGGCAAGTTAAAAGGTGTTTTTGATGTTTTGGGCATTATGCCTGAAGTTGTGTGTGGCGGTCATTCCTGAGATTTTTAAGAACAGGATAAGCTAGTGCTTACGTAGGATGACTTAGATACTGCTTTATCAGAGGAGTTGGACTAAATGATGGTCTCAGATCCCTTCCAGCCCTACTTATTTATGATTTGAGTTTTTCTCAAGAAAGAAGTAATTGAAAGATGTTTTCTGCCTTAAAAGTCAACATTTTCACAAATAATATATATTTTAAAATGCCTCTCTTTGCTTAATATTATATTTCCTCCTTTACATCCTTAGGAGCTTTAAGGACCATGTTTTTTAAAAATCTTTACATAACTAATAGAAGGAGCTGGAAAAATTATGGAAGTGAGCAGCGACAAGTGCTTGAATTATTGTCAGTTTTCAGTGTTTTATGTCTAGTCCATCTTTCTGCACCTGGCCATGAATTTCAGCATGCTGACTATAATTGGATAAATTCTTTTTCATTTTTTCTCTGGCTGAGTTATTCTTGGTTCAGTTCAAAATCATAAACACTATTTAAAAAATTAAAAGTCTAAAAAAATCTTATTTGAGAGGAGGGTGTCCCAAATAAAGGCAAATTGGCTGGTAGCATACAGTAATAAATATGAGAAAACATAAGGACCTTGGCTATAGTTTCTGGCAGTAAAACGGGCAGTCTATTTGTTGTTAAGAAAAATTATATGTTGAAAATAATACAATATCTGTTACTCGTGATAATACTTGGGTATCTTGTTTTCAAGGGTAAAATCAAAAGGTCAGTTAGTGATTCTATTTTAAAACCTAGTAAATAACAGGATTTATAATTTATAGTAATGAGATTTTCATGGTTTAAATTCAAGTAATATACAGAAATTGGTTTAAGAAGCAGTTAATTAGAAAACTTTTTATTGATTGATTGATTTTAGAAAACCTTTTAACAATAGCAAGTTTTACTGAGTTTTTTATTGAAGAGTGCTATAGAAGTTCAGAGATACAAAGATACACATACACATTAGAAGCAAAGCACACATGGAATAAATACTAATGTTTTCCTTTTTTTCCTTAATGGTAGAGAATCCAGTGAATTATGTAATTGTGAAGTTGGTAGTGAGCTTGCTACAAATATCCAAGATGGCAATTAACCACCCAGGTGAAAAGGCAGTTCTAGGTAAGTTATTTATTTCTGTAAAAGTCTTGACTAGTGTCAGTAAGAAACATTACCATTGTGCAAGTCATTTTGATAGGTTTCTACAGTAACTAATGAAAAAAATGTTCAGGGAAGTTTAACCAGAAAGGTGAAAGTTGATCCCTAAATGACATTTCTAATTTTGATAATTACAAAATGTTTCCTCTGATACTGAAAAAGTTACTGCTTTTGACTCAGTGGTATGGAACAACACAACAGGTACTTTTTTTTGCATGCCATACACCCCCAGATAAGTCATGCACCTTGTTTTTAGGAAGGCAGTATGAAGAGGGGGAAATATTTTTCCAGTGTTATGGCTGCATAGAGTAGGGACAGAGCCTAATCTTCAGTTCACTCTTCCTCCCTTTCCTACTTAGGCAATAGCTATGGTTTTAACCCTTTCACAGCTTAATTTAGCTATATTCAACTGTTGCTGAATACTGGACTCCATGGTCAAATGTAGGATTTTGAGCTAAAACATCTGCAAGGTTCGGCTGCTGCCGAATCTCCAAATCATGCAGGCCCATCCTCCGCCTGCTCTCCCAGCCTGGCAATGGCTGCCTACCTGCCCCAGCTCCTGGCACTTCGGAAAAAAAAAAAGCCCAGACTCAACGGGTGCTGCCGGACAGAGGAGCAATCCCTGCTGCCCCCCACTGCCCCATGCTATGTGGGGTGTTCTGCCCGAGCCTCCCGGCCCCCTCCCCCACTGTCCGAGCCCCACCCCAGCTCTGGCCCTTTAAGGACCCCCCACCAAACCCCGGACTCACCAGTTCCTGCCCAGCGGGGTGGCGATCCCCGCTGCCTCCCACTGCCCCACGCCATATAGGGGGCTCTTCCATGAGCCCCCCGAGGCCGCTGCAGGAGCTGGTGAGTCCCAGGGGATTTGGGGGGTTTTCTTAAGGGGCCAGGAGCTGGGACAAGTGGGGC